GCGCGCGCGCGCGCCACTCTCCTGTGCAACACAACAAGCAGGCATCCTGTGTTTCTGACTTAACAAAACAGATGGAGTTAGTATAGCTCCTTGTCTGGCAAGCCACCTTCACCTTTCCTCTGGTGGTGTTTTAGCCCGTCACAGAGTTGCCTAGACAACTGGCATGTGGAGGTAGATTTCAATATATATTGTGTTACCAGAAAGTGATAGAGAATCTTCCGTGAATTTAAAGACATGCAGATGGGGTTTACTTTTTTGAACGAGTAGGTTTTTTTTTTTTTTTTTTTTTTTTTTTTTTTTTTTTTGAGGAGGTATCCATCTACCTTTGAAAAGAAGCATGCAGTATGTTCTCATTAAAGCATAACTTCGGTAGCATTTCTGGTGTAAGCCCTCAAATAGCGATTGTTCTTCCGAATTCCTTAGAGATGCTTGGTTTTCCAACGTTATCTAGTAATAGAGACCCTAGCTCCATTATACTCTGTTTCCATTCTCTTGAGTATATCTCTCAAGTCTTTCCTGCTTTTGTTATATTACTCATCATACTTTATATTATTCCTGTTTTAGCCTTCCAAGACATCGTTGTTTCACCCTGTTCTTGAGGAAAGGAAATGAGTAAAGCAGGCTAAGTACTACTTCAAATATAAATGGTGTAAAAGATTTGTTCATCTAAGTAAAAAGTTTTGTGTTGTTGGGTTTACTAGCTAAGACAACTGTGTTGAAATGTGGAGATTTTGCAGTGACATGTAAACACTTTACTCAGTTTCTGAGAAGATGGACAGGCAGATTCAATGCAATCTCTTCCTTGGTTCTAATTAGACGTCAGAACTAGCTCTTGAGGGATAGAAGTGACATTGGTATTGAACTGGGCATCATATAGCAAACAGGATTACTGTATTAGAAAAAACTAGGAAACAAGTGCAAAGCTACAGGAGGCTTGTGGGATTTTCAGTTTCCTTTTAAATTCCTGGGTACTTATTTCATCTTCTCTGGCGGCTACTTCTTAACTTCCAAGATAATTCAGTAGGTAAACGTCCCATTCCATCTCTCCCTAGTGCCCAAGCTCTGGAAAACACATCAGAATTCTGTTCTCTTTGAGCCATAGTAGAGTTGTCTGAGACTTTGCCTTAGACATGGCCCAAGGTGGAGTCACCGAAACCATACCTTTAAAACAAATAACATCATCCCATCACACCGAGGAGACGGTGTGTTCTTGGTAGAAGATCTTTCGAAGTTTTGAGGCCCTGAATATTGTTTGAGGTACGTGGAAGTAACACACCAGTGTGTGTGTGTGTGTGTGTGTGTATGTGTGTGTGTGTGTGTGTGATTATCTCTGCATGAAAAACCTAGGCTTTCTTGATTTTCAGCCACACTACTAATAGTTGCTTTTATTCTATTGTCTGAGGACTTTGGATTTAACACACGGTGGTTTCTAACAATCTTTTGGGCTTTATGTAAGGTGGGTATGACGTATTTTAAAAACACTAACCTAATCATAAGTGGGATACAATTAAGTTCTTGAGAACAAATCCCAACTCCTCTGCAGAAACAAACAGTGCTATATCTTTCCAGACAAGAATATAGTGAAAGATGCTTTTGACCAAATTCTCCAGCAAATTTGTTCAGATTTTGCTTCAGATAATCATTGCAAATGCTCTGATTGATGTCCTAAATGGTGGATCCATTTTCCATGTGACACTGGACTCTTCTGGGTGGAGAGTGAGGCTGGGTCAGGCAGAAGAGACCTGTGCAGTGGGCAGGGATGAGGGCCTGGTACTGTGAGAGTGTGTTTACCAACAGTGCCTGTAAGAGCCACACTGTGACCTCCTGGCCCACTGAGGAGTGTTTTTCTTTCTGGCTTCTAGCACACTGGTTGGTGTCTCTGGCAGCAAGCATGCAGTGCCACTGTGAAATCTTGGCTGTGCACACTTGTTTCCTGCTCTGAGTATAAGTAGGGCTGAGACACTGTCTCTCACCTGGGATCGGTTTCCTCTGGTATATTCTGGTCAAAGATGAAAATTGAATTCAACATGTGTTTGACCAATTGCTTCTTTCTACCCTGTTTTTGTTTTATTTTATTTTAGGTGAATGCTTTGTAAAACTGAGCTGGGTGGGTGAGTGTATGCTCAGCCTGTATGCCAGGGGGAATACTTTGCCACAGAACTTGTCATATTTTGATGCAAGAGAGTATAAATAAGGATATGCAGACTCTCAAGCCTCTATTCTGCCCTAATCACATCACATTGAGAAGGGGGGTTTGGGGAAAGGAGAGAGACAGAGAGAGACAGAGAGAGAGAGAGAGTGAGAGAGACAGAGAGAGAGAGAGTGAGAGAGAGAGAGAGAGAGAGGAGAGAGAGCACCTTTTGTTTTAAATAAAATAATGAATGTTTACTCTTAAAGCCATGGCAAAAGGGACTCAGATCTCAGATTTTTCCCAGGTGGAGAAAGATATTTTAGAATACAGTTGTAATTGGACAGCATAGCCATGAAGGCACCACTGAACCTTGTGTCAAATCTGACAAAGGTAGCTAACTCATCTATGCTCCAGGACTAAGACTTTACAAGGTTCTATTGGGATAAGCAGTGACGTAAAAACACATTTGGGAGGAAAAGGATCTTGGTATTGAAGACTCAAAAAATATATTCATTTTTCAGAGTTTGTGCTCATGTGTCCTTGAAGTAGCATCTGCCTCTCCTAAAGTAACATTAGGATGAATCCTTTTGGGGGTGAAGGATTTCAAGACAGGGTTTCTCTGTGTAGCCCTGGCTGTCATGGAACTCACTCTGTAGACCAGTCTAGTCTCTTACTCTCAGAGATCTGCCTGCCTCTGCCTCCTGAGTGCTGAGTATTAAAGGCATATTCCACTATCATCCACAATGCATCTTTACAAAACACAAAATTGATGTGCAAATTCTTTTTTTTGAAGTCTTGGTTGGAGTCCAATGAGGTAGGAAAGTAACTCTAAGTTATTTGTCTCCTTATGTGAGGTACTGGGATTGAATCTAAGCCTTTCAACCTATACTAAGTGCTCTACGAGTGAGGCACGTGTGTGTGTGTGTGTGTGTGTGTGTGTGTGTGTGTGTGTGTGTGTGTCTGTTTCCAGAGCCAATTAGATCATGATGTCTCTGACCTAATGACTCATTGTTAATTATAAAAGCTTGGCCATTAACTTAGGCTGGTCCAGCTAGCTCTTACAACTTAAATTAACCCACATCTTTTAATCTGCATTCTTTTACATGGCTCCATTACCTTTACTTTGTAATGCCCATGTTGCTTGCTCTGGGCCTCCTGGCATCTCCACCTTTCTTCTTCTCAGAGTCCTCTGTGTCTGGAAATCCTGCTTAGCTATTGGCTGTGCCATTTTTTATTAAACCATTCAGAGTGACACATCTTTGCAATGTACAAAATGATTATTCCACAGTATTGCTTTTTTTTTAAATCAATTCTTTGAGTATTTCCTACAATGTAGTTTGATTATATTTACTAATATCATTCTCCCTAACTTGTCCCAGATACACTCCCTTCTCTTTACCCACCCCTAAATAATACATTGGTTCCAATTTGTGCTGACCTTATATTCATGAGTCTGGGGCCATCCACTGGATCATGAATGGCTGACTTACTAGGGACCACACTCTTGAAGAAAACTTCTTCCCCCATCCCAGAATCCATAAACTGTCCATAGCAGTATTGCAGAGGTTCTTGTCCCACCAGGTTACGCTGCCCTTCTCAGCCACAAATAAACACACAGACACTGTATTAATTATAAAATTGTTGGCAATGGCTAGGGCTTCTTATTGACTAGCTCCATCTTAATTATTAGCCCATTTTTATTAATCTATGTATTTCCATGTGATTGTGGCCTACCAGATAATGCCCAAACCTGTAACTCCTTTGGTTACATGGCAACTCTTTTTGGTAGGCATTCTCTGCCTATCTTTCCCAGAATTCTCCTTGTCTTTTAGTCCCGCCTATCTCCCTGACTCTATTGGCCACAGTGTTTTATTCATCAACCAATAAGAGAAACATATATACAAAAGGACATCTCCCATCATCCCAGCTTCTCAGTAAGGTGTGAGGGCTTGTGAGGCCCTTCCAACACTATGCTGCAATATTGACTGGTATGACCTTGTATAGAAATCCACATCTGTGATGAGTTCATGGGTACAGCAGTTCTGTCATGTCCAGAGGACATCAGGCTGTTCCTGACACCTGAATTCTGGTTCTTATAATCTTCCCAACCCTTCTGTCACTATGGTCCCTAAGCCTTTTGGTGAGGGGAGGTCATAGAGATGTTGCATTTGTGACTAAGAACTCCACTGACATTTATCCTCTGAATATTGACCAGTTGTCAGTTTCTGTTTTAACCACTATCCATTATACAAAGGAATTTCTCTGATAAATTGGGATAACTGCATTCATTTTTGGGTATAAAGATAGCAAATAAGAACTCCTGAACCGTGAGTTCTTGGCCACATTTAGAAAGTGATTGTTTACTCCCATAACATTTGTGCCATTATTGCACCCATGCTGGCCATTATTGTAGATCACAGAGTAAATGACTGGCTAAGACTCTTGATTACTTTTTTTTTTTCCTAGCAGCCAGAACAGCACCTTTCAGTGCTATGAGAGCTAACCACCAGGGAGGAAGATTCTTGGTTAATATTAGTATGGCTGATATTTGGTTAATATTGGTATTTTTTCTGATTTCCTCATGTCCTTTGACCAAAGTGTGTAATGTCTTCAGCTCTTTAAAAATTGTTTATATGGTTGGTATTTTTAAATTCCTTTTGTTTTGTTTTGATACAATCTTGCTAATTTGCCCATGCTGGTCTTGAACTTATGATCTACCTGCCTCTGATGTAGTTAGATTTATAGGCCTGTCCTTCCAGGCTAGTTAACTTTTTAGTGTATTGTCTAAAAGCTCTTCCCTTGCAACTTCATTTTTCCCTGTAGTAGATTCTCCCTTTTCACATTTCTGATGTCTTTTTCATGGGTGTATTTTTCTGAAACTCTCCTTTTTCCTCTTGATCCTTAGCAGACAATTCCTTTGGGGGAAAAACAACTCCATGCAGGAAGAATTAACAACTCTATCTTGTCTGCCTTAATAAAATTTGATCATATTTTAAATAATTACTGTCATGTGTCAGGTAATGATGGAGACTCTTTTGAGACATGCTTCATTATGTAACTTCATCATCGTGGGACTATCACAGTGTACATAACAAATCTGGAGGCTACAGCCAAGGCTATAGTATCCTACTAAAAGACTATTTTTATATTTGTTATTCACCATAGAGTGCCATACTGCATGATGTCTGGATTTATTTTATTCAGTCTCTCTCTATTCCTGGCTACTATTAGTTCCTCACTGAGTGAGTGGTAGAAGTCGTACTCCTCCTAGATATGGATAACTAATCTAGTGTCCCAAATGTAGTAGATAATTTCTTAATCGATGAGCAAGCAAAGCTGTAAGTAAATGATATATTGATATGTTGATGGACTCTAGTTCATGCAGGTAGTTGTAGTCAAATAGCCAGTTGAAGAATATGTATTTGCGCTTGCATTTATTTTCCCCATGCAACAGTACTATATAACACAACTCACTCTCTATATCAGCCTACACTTGGCTATTTAATCCCCACAATATGTGAAATAGTATGCTTTTGCAATTCTAAAGCAAAAATAAATGGAAAGCTACAGTAACATCAACCTTTAAAAGAAATCATAAATGCTCCTACATTAAAAGATAATAAAAATGCTTCAATGGATAGATATTTGTACAATTATTTATTATATTGTACAAAAAATTCAATGGATAGATATTTGTACAAAAATATTTTGTACAGATATTTGTACAAAAATTGTACAATTTTGTCCCATACTATAAAATCTGTGTTCCTATTAAATCCCTGTGGGAGGTCTGGTTTTAGCTGTGAAGAGTAATAATGAAGTTAAATTTGGACATGCTACTCGAGGGATGGGCAATAGTCTTAATTAATCAAACAAAATTAAAATACCAATTTTTGCTATTTAATAATTATCTTGAGTACTAATGCTAGAGGGAAGTCAGAACTAATTAAAGGGGGAAGCAGAAGTGGATAGAGAAGAGGGAACATGGAAGGGCACTTCCTTTCATGTCTCTGATTCCTCATTATATTGATTTTCTTTTCATCTCATTTGAACACTAATGCGAATCCAGAGTTTTTCCCTGAAAACTTCTGCCTTTGTCTACAGCTATTTCTGCAGCTGGATACACAGAGAGGAGATTACACTCCATTTGATCTAAAATACAAATGGGCTCATTTTATTTTCAAAGCAATGTTACCTCTGTCTCTTGCCTCCCTGCCATTTAGTATGTAGACAACATTTCAATCGTGCAAAATACTAATCAGGAGCCTCCAACACATTGCTGCTTCAGCCTCTCTGGGAATATTGGAAGGATGCGAACTAACGTCTAAGTGTTGTTCATAGTCCAACTGTTTATTTGTCTACAGTTTTCAAGTTCTCGATCTGTTTGACGGTAACTAGAAATTTGCTTACTGTATTGACAATGACACCTATCAGATAACAAGCCTTTACTAAACAATTCTTTAACATGCTATGCCTCCTTTTAAACTGAAAGTCTGGATAAAGACATGAGCTGCATGGGTGACATTTTTTCACTTCACATTACATGGTTTAGTATTTTTGATCAAGAATTTTCATGATAAATTTAGCCTGGTCTTTATTTCCAGGAATTTAAAGAAGTGTATTTCTACTGGATAGCATGTTCTGCTTTGGTTAAAGGAGGAATGACAAAAGAACCACAAGAAATCTTCTTTTAGGTTGTAATTCTGGAAGATGAGAACTAAATCTGATGCTCAGCTGCAGCCCAGGGAAGGCTTTCTGAAGACTTGGTCTTTGTGGTTTTATGAAGCATTTAATGGACCTGTAGCTAGGATACCTTTAACAACTTAACTTTCTACTGAGGAATCATTTGAATTTGTTTTGTACTGTTTAGCTCTTTTGACATTTTGGTTAAATATTTATAAAATTCTATTGCATAAATGTGGTGTTTTACAGCCAGTATTTTCAGTTCACTAAATGTAGTTCCCTGGAATATTTTAGGTCTGGTTTCTCTACCTCATCCAAGAAGATGTTCACTGAGACTTGGAAACTTGAAAGGTACATACTTATGACCAAATGTGAGGGCCCTTATCAATGTGTGAACCATGAATGTATAGAAAATATTCATGTGGGTGTGTCTCTGAGAAGCTGAAGAGAAATCTTTCTCTGAAAAGCAAAGTTTGTTGATGTGTGCAGGCTTATGGAACTGTGGCTATAGCTGCTTCTTGGACACAAGGCAGAAGCTTCAGAAAACCAAGTGTTCAGGTCCACCAATGATGAAATTATCTCTTGCATCATGGCGACTTCTTTGTCTTTCTGCAGACCTCTTAATGACCATTGCTCTAATAAATTAGGTACTTATGAAGCATCAACCAGTCTGTGTGGTTTACAGGTATTATTTCTATTCATAGAAGTGATTAGAATTAAGTTCTAGAAGTGTTTATACTGCATCTAGTTCAATGATCAATTGTGTTGTATGCAGAGAAGAAATGGATCTATGCAAATGCCCAAACACTTCCATTTTCGTGGTGTCCCTTTATTCTCTGTAATTTTTACCAATGACCTTCAGAACCACAATCTTTGAGCTTCATAAGTTTGCTTTAACTGTATAGTTCCGTCACAACACAACACACATGGAATATTTGGAGTTCTCCTGCGGGTCCTTTAGATGATAGCATTCTTGTGGTGGTGAGAGGTGGCCTCCTGGGCTTGCATGCCACAATCAAAATTCTCTTTTAAGAACTGAGGCTCTAATTACCAGATCAACGACAGATCAACTGAGTGAATCTGTAGGGACCCATCTGACCAGCTCTTTGCTCTTGGTGAAAGGTAAATCAGAACATCTGCTTCATGAAGATCCAATCATCTATATCCAACCCAGACCCAGGGATCAATGCTCCCAGAGGACATAGAGCAGGAGGGGAAGTGTGATAAAAGGAGGGAAATAGTTTTCAGTTATAGGTTTGTAGAGACACAATCTGAGAAACTCAACAGAAGTGAAAAAAAAAGTAAGGAAAGGACCATTTATTTTGGAATTACAACTGAAAAATAAAAGAAAAAAGGGAAATGATTTAATATATGTAATATATGTTGTGGTAATTAAGGATTTAGTCACTACCTACTAGTTAGTCATGGAAGACTGAGATTACACTTAGCACTTGCTGTAGGTTGCCACAGCACCAGAGAGACCCTATCATATCTGTTTTATAGCTGGGCAAAGAGAGGCTTAGTTACTTGTCACAAATCACACAGTCACTATGTTGTAGTTTTGGGAGTCAAAGTAAAATATCTCACCCTAAAGGAATAAATCTTTCTGTTGTACTCTAGATTCAGACTGCATTCCAGACTGGGTAAGCCTTGTGGCCATGACTATGCTTCACTCGCCAGCTTGAAGGACCATTCTCCTCTTTGTAAAAACTGGTACATATTGATCCCTACATTCCAGTGTCATTTTTTATCTTTGGTTTATAAAGTGAGTAGTGCATGGAAAATGGAAGGATGTCTCCACCTTGTACACATCAGCAGAAACCAATAGTTACTATCATTCAATAATGAACAGAGAGAGTCATAATCATTATTTTTCAAATTGAAAGATCTGATCTATCAATGGCACACAAATAAAATTGGTGATTTTTTTAAAAAAGGATTTTATTTATTTTTAATTTCGGTGCATGAGTGTTTTGCCTGCATATATGCATGTGTGCTACATGTGCACTGTGCCTGAAGAGTCCAGAAGACAGCAGCAGGTCCACAGACATTGGAGCTAAAAACCACTGTGAACTTCTGTGTGGGTGCCGGGAAATGAAACTGGATCTGTTAGAGCAACAGGTGCTCTTAACTGCAGAGCTATCTCATCAGCTCTGCCTAATTAGTGATTTTTAACCAACACTTATTTTTTTTTTGATTAAGAAGGAATAGAATGAGACAGAATAGAACTGACTATAAAGGGTCAGAATTCATTATGTGTTTTAAAAGGTAAAATATATCTCACTTATTTTAATTCCAGTTACATGTACCTTTGACATTGTGTAGAAATGAAAAGAAATGCACTTGGGTTTTGATAATAATAAAAATTATGTACTTAAAGAACCCTTTCGGGTGGCAGCTCACAAATACCCTTGATGCTTGAGTTTGTCATTGGGTGTGTTTCTCTCTTACTCTCCACATTTTTAATGTTTAGAGACAAGGTCTCTCCCTGAACCTGGTGTTAGCTAATTCAGATAGACTCACTTAAGGGTTCTTTGCCCCAGGCAGCCCTGGGGTCACATACACACACCTAGCTTTTCCATGGGGGATGGAGAATCAAACTCAGGTCCTCATGCATACCCAGCAAGCACTTTACCCACTGAGCAACCTTTCGAGCCAGAAATATTTATTTTGAAAAGTTCATGTAGATAGGCATATTGGCACTAAGGACAATACAGTAAAAATTATGTTAAAATTTTGATAATGTGGAAATGATATGAATTTATATGTCAAGAGAACTTTTCTCTCAATAAAAATAATAGATGTATTGAGTACATGTATTGATTGTATGTTGTTAGTTCAGAGAGAGAACATGTAACATTGCATTCACTTGCCTTTCTTTGCCCTGTGTGTTGTCTTTCACTCTTGCATTTAGTTTATGTTTGGAAGGCATGTTTCCTTTAAGATGTAACAAATATCCTTTTTATTTCTTTTTTATTTCTATTAAAACAATTATCTTGGGGCTGGGGATGTAGCTGAATTGGTAGCACGTTTGCTTACTATATAAAAAGCATTGTATGGATTGGGGTGTGTTGGTGAAAGCCTATACCAGCATCTGGGAGGCAGAGGTGGGAGGATCAGAAGTTCAAGGTCAGCCTCAGCTACATAGAGAGTCCTAGGGCAGTAAGTATGGGGGATATGAGACTCACAATAAATAAAGAGATAGGTAGATAGATAGATAGGTGGATAGATAGATAATACATTCTTTTTAGATTAGCTTTGTAAGAGGCAATTCCTAATTTTATTAACAAGTAGAACTTAGTGGTGTATGCTCTGTGTTTATGGACAGACATCTCAGGAAGGACACATTCACACCTTCATAGAGCTTTCCAAAGGCTACATTTCATATTTAAACAGTTGTTTGAGACATGCTTCCTAGGGTATCTTATTTCACATTTCCTGTCTATGGAAAAGCTAGAAGGGCCTAGGGGGGTGGCTCCTGGAGTGTGGATGGGAACTTGACTTGCAGCGTTCACTAGCTTCTGCAAATCCATCCAGATCTTTTCGTTTCTCTGGGTTTTCACCTCCTTGTCTGTAAAGGGAGTTGGAGCAGTGTCTTTCCCATGTGGTTTCAGCCTGAAAATGTCCACTGTCAAATGGTGACATGTTCACAGTAGCTTTGGTGGGAATATGACCGTGTGTGTTTGGCAAGGCTCTGAAACCTGGATATTTGATTTCACAGGGGAGTTACTGGATGGTTATACATTGCAGTGTAATGGTTAGCATGACCTTTTCTTGATGGATGTCATGAGCCAATGGCTGGTTTGCCTGGAGGAACAGGTGATGACACTAGAGGAAAGTAAAGTGGATTCAAGTGGTTTGTTCATTATAGGGACTGTGCTAACATACTGGCCCTTCATGCTCAGGAGTGAAGAAAACCATTCATTCCCACTGAGAAACTGAGTAAGTGGGAAGATGCATTTTAGCTTCAAACTGAATTAAATCATCTGGGTAATTAGAAAGAATGTCATTTGTCTTGCACTATTTCGGTAGCCCAAAGGCAACTGATACCTATTCTTGGATGGTATCTGGTATTTATGGTGCCTGGGGCACCAGCCTCCAGTTCTCCTCACTATATATTGAATCTGCCTTAAGGAGAGCAGGGAAATCTTGGCTCTCTTAGTCCAGTGAGTGACTATTACTTGAAGACGAGCTAGGAACAGTCCCTTTGTGAAGATACTGGGTGAAAGGTGTATTTCTAATGCACCTGCTTGCAGAGGTTTCCATCCAGTGCAACCAGGCATTCCATGTGTGCAAATCGAAGCTGTAGCTACAACACAATACACTTTGATTTTCCTCGCTATGGTTAGAAACAATGTTTGCCCAACAACTCTCTACAGTGTGCTGAGTAACACCAGGAATCCATTCCTCTCCGTAGCATTTTGTGTCTGTGTATCCTTGTGCAGCATGGGTCCTGCAGACCAAGGATGGTGTACGTGCAGAGGAATGAAGTTGCCAACCAGGGTCTTTTGCTCTCTACAGTGTGCTGAGTAACACCAGGAATCCATTCCTCTCCATAGCATTTTGTGTCTGTGTATCCTTGTGCAGCATGGGTCCTGCAGGCCAAGGATGGTGTACGTGCAGAGGAATGAAGTTGCCAACCAGGGTCTTTTCAAGAGCTTTTGTAGGTTGCAGATGAGTTCTGCCTTGGAATCTTTTGCATCACAAGTTCATTCACCTATGTTCTTTTTTCTCTTGTACCTTCCTTTTATTTTCTCATCAGTGTCATTTTGGAGGACTACTTTTTATCCATCTTTCAGACACTGTGGGTACAAAGGTGTTGTGTGGTAGGATAGTGGGCAATCAGAGGCTAGCTATCTCCCCAGGAGAAGGCAAAGGGGCATGAAGCATGGGAATGCTCTTTGCATATACACTGATGAGGTCTTAATTAAATGAGCATGCTGGAATCACAGAACTAAAAACAGAAAGCCTCCTGGATACATTTTGTTCATTGCCTGTGTTAACACGTGTGATAGCTCCATTACAAATTAAAAGTTACGTGCCACGTTTATCTCAGTGAATTGATGGACTTTTGAATAGAAGTTTCTTTAGAAACCACCTCACTTCAAATTTCCGGCTCAATGGTAGAGTGCTTGACTAGCATGTGTCACCAGCTCTTGTTACAGTTTCTTTTCTTTTTTTCATGTGTGCATGTACACATGGATGTGGGAGGCTAGGGGAAATTGTTATATCTCCCAGAACTAGAGTTGCACCCAGTTTTGGAATTCTTGACATGGGTGCTGCTAATTGAATTTAAGTGCTATTAGTTACTTGATAACTAATAGTTATAGTTATAGTTATAGTAGTTATATATAACTATAGTTTTATATTTCTAAAGATGTGGCTTTTAAAAGTGTTTTTAGTGGACATAATAATTTTATTTATTTGTGGGGTAAGAACCATAATCTTTTAAGAAGATCAAGTAAAATTTTATATTTATATTTTTATATGAAATGCATAAATTTCTTACATATCTAAGGCTCTGGAGTATCACATTTCACCAACATCTTTGGAACCCTTTTTTTTTCTAAGCTTAGATTAACTTTACAGAAACTAATGAATATACTGTATTAATATCAAGACACAATTTAACAGTATTTTCTAGTTTAGATTATAATCTATTCAGTGTTCCTTGTAATAGTATCAGTTTCATCTCATCTCATTGACATAAATTGTTGTTTATGCACTGTATATTTTCATTTAGTTAAGTCTTAACTGCATAATAATCATATGTTGTCTTCATATTTTATATCCTTCATATTCTGGAAAACAAATAAATACTCCCGAGGTTAACACACCAGAGCTTTCACACAAAAAGCAACAACAACAACAACAAAAAAAACAGTAATGCCCTATAAGCACGGCTCTTGGCAAATATCACTGGAGGAGGCAGGAGAAAGAATTCTGTTCCTGGGGTCTGCTGTGTGAATCCCATACACACAGAATGTTAGTTCTCTCTGTGAGTTTTTATTCACTCTCTGTGGTCCCATCCTCCACTGTTTGATTTGAGGAACATTCCAGGCAGTATCCTTAGCTTCCATGATGTGAGCCTGGGACTGGGGTCTGAGGACTCCCAGGGATTCCTTTCTTGAACCGGGCAAGACAGACAGAGCTGGTTGGCAGTGCAAGGCTCAGCTGCGGCACCGGGCTTCATCTACAAAGGTGAGAACTGTGTCTCCAGGTGCCCACATGCTCTTCTGCAAACCTGTGCAGCAACCCTAAGATGAGGAGGATGGGTGGCAGAAACACGGAGTGACTTCCATTTCTCAAATCAGCAGAGAATACTAAATGTTTGGACTCCCCCAGATATTTGCTCATGGCTCAATGGTGCCACAGTGGGGTCCCGACTTGGGGATTTCCAAATAAACAAACAAACAAACAAACAAACAGTATGCTAGGTGCTCCTGGGCGCTAATATTTATGTTTTTGACAAATGATCTCCAGATCTAATGGATAGCAATAACAAAAGTATATTTTTGCCATTCTTTTTTTTGTTCATTTGTTGTAACAAAGATTTTTCTTCATCTCTTAGAGATAGCTATTAGGTAAAATAAAATTAATTGGACAATTTTGTGGAAATGCCAAGCAATTAGGGTATAGGATC